GAAAAGAAAAGAAAAGAAAAGAAAAGAAAAGAAAAGAAAAGAAAAGAAAAGAAAAGAAAAGAAAAGAAAAGAAAAGAAAAGAAAAGAAAAGAAAAGAAAAGAAAAGAAAAGAAAAGAAAAGAAAAGAAAAGAAAAGAAAAGAAAAGAAAAGAAAAGAAAAGAAAAGAAAAGAAAAGAAAAGAAAAGAAAAGAAAAGAAAAGAAAAGAAAAGAAAAGAAAAGAAAAGAAAAGAAAAGAAAAGAAAAGAAAAGAAAAGAAAAGAAAAGAAAAGAAAAGAAAAGAAAAGAAAAGAAAAGAAAAGAAAAGAAAAGAAAAGAAAAGAAAAGAAAAGAAAAGAAAAGAAAAGAAAAGAAAAGAAAAGAAAAGAAAAGAAAAGAAAAGAAAAGAAAAGAAAAGAAAAGAAAAGAAAAGAAAAGAAAAGAAAAGAAAAGAAAAGAAAAGAAAAGAAAAGAAAAGAAAAGAAAAGAAAAGAAAAGAAAAGAAAAGAAAAGAAAAGAAAAGAAAAGAAAAGAAAAGAAAAGAAAAGAAAAGAAAAGAAAAGAAAAGAAAAGAAAAGAAAAGAAAAGAAAAGAAAAGAAAAGAAAAGACATCTGATGATGGCAAATGTAGCATTTTCCTTTGTAACCTGTTCCAGCAACTAACAGCCTCACAGCTGAAAACGTCTGTCACTGTTTCTGGTTTGAATATATTTGGATTTAACTTCCTGATATTAAGACTTTTTTTTTTTTTTTTTCCCCTCCTCACACAGGAAATTACACACAGAAACTCAATCTCTCTTCAGTCTGTTTCTGAAGAATTAACACATTCTTCCTGTCTCTGAGTACACAGCAGTTTTTCCAGACTTCAATTCCTTCTGGTGGCTTTTTGCTGCAGTCTCTGTAGCCTTTCAAGCCCTTTTGAAAATGGCGACACCAGAATTACATGCTAGTATCAATGTCGACAACCTCACTGCTTCTCTGATTATATACCCAGGTTCTCGGCTTCTGCCGCTCCCCTGGGTGACTGTGCTGATCCTTATATGCTGCCACCTCTCCAGCTGATGTAGGGAAGTGATATTTCTGAGGATATGGCTCCCCACCCTGCAAGGATGGCCCAGCTCTTTTCCATATGTGGTCCTTTGAGACATGATCCCCACTTGGCAGCTGTATCAAAGCACATTTTGGCTCTGACACCACCTCTGATGGAGGGTACACCCAGAAGTGCTCATGGATGCCCTAGGCTGGAGGTAGACATTGAAGCCCAGCTTCCATGAGTGATTAAGGTCATTCTGGATCGCCAGCCTTTCCTCAACACTGTACCTTTCTTCATCCTCTATACCTACTACTAGAAATCATTTTATGTATGTTTCCCATTTTGGAGTGATGAACTCCCCGTGGAACATGACTAGAAATGAACATTTATGAATACCCTTGAATAAACAATTTTTGATGTCTGTCATACAGACACTTTAGGGCATTTAGTGTGTGATATTGATAGCACTAGCCCCAGTGTCGTGTAGGATCTCTTTAAGGAGAATCTAAGCATACATCTTCTGCTGTCAAGCTCCTTTAACACACAAACTTGTAATCTCATGAAAAAAGGAAATCAGTATTTATGGACAGATCAATTTTCTGTAAAGCTATGTAGATCAACATTAATTAAATGCTCTGCCTTTGCTCCTTCTTTCATTTTCAAGGCCTTTTATTATTTTTTACTTGCTAATGTTTAGTATCAGGCTCAATAGCGAGAGCTAGTCTGCTGCTGACACAGAATCAGCATGTTCCCACACTTCTGGGATTTGCATGGTGCTCCAAGACCTCTACAAAATTAGTATCAGAATAGGCCATCTTGCCTTTTTGCTACCAATATTATAAATGGTCACTGAATTATCATCTTAAATAGTTTGCCATCTCCCTCTATCAATTAACTGATATCACAGCAAATACTTTTCTCCTGGTAGAATTAAAATTCCTCTAACAGTCCATGACCCTGGTAGGAGATAGGCTGTACTGCTATTGAGCAAAGAGGCAGGTAGCACAGCAACAGCAGTGCACAAAAACAAATGCTGAGGAGAGCTGATAAGGACAGGTAAATAGCCCTAGGTGCTCTTCC